TCGTCTCGTTTCAAACACGGTGCATTGAGGATAGCAGAGGCCAGGGTACTTATTAAACCCAAAATATAGTGACAGGGGCATCATTAGCTCGGCTAGAAGTGCGTCAGTAGGAAATGCCCATGAATAAGGACACACGGGGCGGACTTTGACATACCAATGAAATAAATTTCCCACAAGTACGGATGAGGAAAAATGGCTCTCACTTAAACTCTATTAGTCTTCATTTATATGAGTCATAGGGTACAACAATAATTTGTTTCTATTGTAAAATAATAGACAGGGCCTATAATTTAGGTTTCAAAAATATAGCATGTTTTAGAAATACGTGAGCAATCGTGACAATAGATTGCATCATAAACACATGTTGTTTTCTTGTATTTAATTTACATACGTCAGCAGTATAACTGTCTACAGAATACTACAATTGGGCATTTGAATCCAGCAGTGACTCGCTTTGTATTTTTGAGAATTTCACAGCATGATGTGGAGCTGTTGATTAAATCAGTACTGCAGTTCTGCATCTAATTATTTCTCTGAGTGTTTGTGTGCAGGTGTGTGTGTGTGCATGTTTATGTGGTTTATGAGGACACAAATTTGTATAATAACATGGGTATGACATAGGTATTACAACGAGAAGGTGATTTATGAGGACATTTTCAGTGTCCCCATAATTCAAAAGGCTTATAAATAATTCAGAATGAGTTTTTTTGAACATCTAAAAATGCAGAAAGTTTCCTGTGAGGGGTAAGTTTAGGGGTAGGGTTGGTGTAGGGCAATAGAAAATACGGTTTGTACAGTATAAAAACCATTACGCCTATGGAGAGTCCCCATAAACCATAAAAACAAACCTGTGTGTGTGCGTGTGTGTGAGAGAGAGAGAGAGAATGTGTGTCGTCTGCATGTGTGGGATTTTCTGTTTTCACAGGGCTGGCATGTTGACAAGCGCAGTCACACCTGACTGAACAGAGGCCAAGCATATTTGATGAGCTTTGGAAAACAATAGCTGTGCCTGAATGGTCCTAGGCCTTTCACATAACTACTACTACTACAAAAAAATCAATATAACAATTTATTCAAATCAATATTACATTTATTATTTGAATTAAGCCAAGTTTTTTTCTCTATAACATTTTATGTTTCACCATAATTTAAAAAAGAGAGAGTTTTAGATCCATTTAAAATCATTATTTGTGTTGTACTAAACAGTATAGCGGCTACATCTGAAATAGATTAGGGTTCTCTTCATAAATTACATATTACATTTTCAAAAATGTCCTTTTTAATTTTTAACATCTGACCCCAATAAGATTCTGCATAATAAACTGATTAATCAAGTATAAAAAAAAAAAAATTCTGGCATTTCATAAAACAGTATAAAAGTGTACAATTCAAACAGATTTACATTTCCTAGGTAATTAATTTTCACTTCAATTATGAATAAACAGAACACCCTCTTTGCTATGAAGTGTTCCTCTGTAAAAGTTAAAGATTTAAAGCTGCAGTTCGTAAGTTTTGGCGCTCTAGTGGTCAATAAACAGAACTCCATGCGTCTTGCGGAAGAACAGTGTAGCCGGAGCTACTTCTCTCTGTTTATGTCTATGATGAATCACGCAGGTACTGGGCTACTCCGCAGCGGTACCTACCTGAACCAGTCTAAAATAGTCAGAATATAAACACTTATTATAGGTGTACCCAGGATAAGCCAAAAACACGGTTTGGAAAATGGATTCATGGTGTACTCGCTTATTATATTCATTCTGCAAATTTTGAAATCAAAAAAAGTTACGGACTGCAGCTTTAATTTGCATATTATAAATTCGGGGCCATTTGCTGGTAGAATAGAACGTTATATTACTTTCTCTTCCAAATTAAAAAATAAAAAGATGAGGAATCCTACATGGTCATTGTTCTTGGAGTTCTGGCTTCAGGTTAGCAGAACTGGAAAAAACATATTAAAAGACACTTGTGTTACTTCCATTGTTCCATTGCACAATGGTTTGTTTAGAAATACATAGTAAATACATGAGCCAAAACATTTTTCTGACCTTCCAGCGGTTACCACATTCATTGCACAACACAAAGGTGGTCATTGGTTCATCAGCACTGCGGGTTTGCACCTGTACAAAACATTTATGAGTATATTTATTTTCCCAACAAATGAAATAAACAATGACAGG